AGCACCACCCCCCCCCCCAAACTCGGTCTCCCCCCCCCCTCCTCCGCCCTTCCGAGTCACCGCCCCTGCCACCTCCGTCCTCGGGGAGCGTTTCCTGCGCGGCGCGACCTCCTCTCGCGTTCTTCTTTCTGCGAGCCGCCGTTGCTGTGCGCGCCGTACGGCTCGCGTGGCCCGCCGGTGCGTTAGGAACGACGACGGACGACGACCAGGGTATAAGGGGAACGCTTCTCCAATATGAGCCAGTCCCCACCTGCCCGCCACCCCCGTCAGCACCGGTTCTTAATACCCCCCCCCCCCCGAAAGGTTTGTCGTGCTGGGTGCACGGCCGTTAGTCCTGCGAATGGTTACAAAATAAGTATGTGCGTATAAAAACAAAAATCCTCGACGCGTTCGTCAATGGTCAGTAGCGCTGCGTGTCTCTGTTCGTGTCTGCGGCCTCAAAACGGTAGTGCTGCGGTTGGCGCGCTGCGCTACGAAGCCCGACGATCCGCGTTCGATACCAACACTGGTGACGGCTATCCAAACCGGTCCTAGGGCTCCTCTAGGTCGACTCAACCTCAAATGAGTACCTGGTGTGGTGTATAAATATCGCCACTGGGGAGACGAAGGCGGTCGGGCGTGGTGCTGGCCACCTATCCCCTCGTGTGCCGTGCCAGCCTTAATAGGTGCTCGCTAACAGCATTTGACCCTTATGTCTGTTAAGGCTACACGGGGGATCTTTGTATGTATAGTGGTGCGTGCCTGTATATCTCTGTAGAGTGGTGTGCTTCTGTTTCTCTCTCCGTAGAGCATTGTGTTGCCCGTACGTGTGTAGTGGTTTGTGTGTCCATTCGGAGACAAAAGTGGCTTGGCGTGGTGCTGACAACCCACCCCGTCATGTGTTGTGATGAAACTCGCTAACAGCACTTGGCCCAAAAGTCTGTTAAGGCTATATGGGGGATCTTTGTCTTTTTGCTGCGTGGCTTTGTCCACCCTATCAACTACAAATTTAATAATCGAGGCCTGTGATATAATTTCTCTATCTTATATTATCGCGGTACGGGGCTCGATAATAACGCGCCATCTAAAGGTTGTTGCGATTCACAGACTTTGCCACGTTTTTGAAATGTATAACTCAGGACAAAAACCCCTAGGTGCAAATCCATCTCCCGATTATCGTCGTCGTCATCATCGTTACTATGTTACGATTAATTACCTTACAACGAGGCTTCTTAGTCCATGTTCAAAATATTTTTTTGCGAAGATAGCAGGAAGAAAAAGTTCGAGGGAATGATTGCAGATCATTGGAGAGCAGAGGTGACATTTCTATACCTGCTGCTGCATTGTCCCAGTGCACATGTGGCTGTCGCCTGATGATGCTGGTTGTTGTAATTACCGGCGAAACGTCACGGTACTTGAATTGTAAATATTGTAGTGGGGTCACTCTCCAACACACAGGCGGTGTGCTGAAGTAGTAACGAGTTGGCACGTTTTGTTTACGTGACAAACCATTACTCATTTGGTGTGTCGGGTGGTAGCTGGTTTAACGACGCGTTTATATTTACACGATCTGACCCCCCAAAAAAACCTCTTATGGATAATATTGGTCGCGAAAGTTTACTGTGTGTTAAAGTGAACATCTGTGAAAAAAGAGCTTCATAGCTCATCGGATTCCTCCGGTGCAAGGAAAGATTATGTGTAACTTTGACTGCAGAAACGACTCTTTTGGTTTGCATTGGTTTTGTCTGGCCCATTATGCCAAGGGGATGTCGTGTTGCAGCGGCAGTCTGTGGAGCAAAGGGAAGTTTGACAGAAATGGGTGAGGACAGTGAAAAGTAAGCGACGATGGGGTGAAGGCAAGCGCTGTTTCGGGCACAAGTCTATAAATATGGAATGTGCCACGAGCCAGAGACCTCCCAGCCCGCCAAATCATTGCGTTAACACGCCGTTTGGTCATGGCAACTGTGATTCAAATTAACACTCTCAATCAATCAATCGGGGTCTTTCTATAGACCCGGCGGAGGAGAGATCTCGTTCGTAAATGTAGACCCGCATTTTCAAACGCGCTTTGGCCATATCCAACCGGGACAGGGTGTGCGTGTGAAACTCTACGGACTAGTCATTATACCACCATCATCGGCCCGGGGTCCAATCCACTGCTGGATGAGGGCCTCTGCAAACCCCCTGCCCGTGTCTCTCTTGTGAGCCTTGCCCCCCCTCCCCCGATGACGTGGACCGCACGGAGACCGGGAGCGGTAGTTCAGTAGAAGCGAGCAAAGCATTGAGGAGCTTCACTCCCAAAAAAGCGTTGCCGCGTGCTGGAAAGTCGACGTTAAAGACCCGCGCGGGGGGGGGGGCGGACAGGAGTGCGGCGGGGGGAGCCGGCCGTGTGCCTCGCGTCGTTCGTAGACCAAATGGCACGGTCCAAAACGGCCCGCGAGTTAAACATTCTTTGCGAAGTTAGCAATGTGCTGGTGCGTTCCTAATGCGAGCACGTTTGTTTAATGGCACCCATGTTGATACCACAAGTTATAGTTTCACGATAGTGTCGGGGCGGGAGAAGGGGGTGATTTATCCATTGATAACATTTAAAAAAGTATCCGTGCATAAGGATTGTGCGTACACCCAAAACCGTTTTTGCTTAGAAGCTAGAACAAACTTTTTATTGTCTTTTGTTATTTTTTTTAACCCTTCCCTGTCTTGTTGCAATTTTACTCCGCCTAAATCCAAATTCTTTCGAAAAGGTTGAAGGTCAAAGCAATTGAAAGGTCAAAGTGACTTTAGACCGGGAACAAAATGGAAAAATATGCGCCAACATCATCTTACCTTTTTTTTCTCTCTCTCTCTCCTGCCGCCATCTTCACTGATGGTTTGCTACAGTCACTAACCTTTGCCCTTTGACCTGGACAAAACCAGGATATCTGTATTTTTTTTCGTTACCCCAACCCCTCTCTCCCCGCCTCATCCCCCCTGTTCCTCCTGCCCCCCTATCATCCTGCTGCCGATTGGCTATGAACATTAACCATGTACCAAAAAACAACCGCTCCTCCTCGTCCTGTGGTCCCATAGGTGGGGGGTGGAGACATTGGATGTTAGCAGGCGGTCGGGGGGATAACGATTCGGTGGTGATGGAGGAGGCGGATTGGTTGGAGTTGTTCGTGGTCGGTGGTGGTGTTGCTGGTGGTGGTGGTGGGAGGGGGAGTTGAGCTGGTTTGCGGGTGCGTGGGTATGCGGTGGGTCTTAAGTCCTTCCAGATGGGTGCAGATTGCCAGGGTGGCATCGTGTAACCTAGCGGGTCCTCATTAGGCCACCGGTTGTGACCGGGAGGCCCCGGCGTTCTCGGTTGCGGTTTGTTTAGAGCGAGCGCGCGGGAATCGTAAGCCGGGTAACCGAGCGGTCAGGGCATTCTACCGCGAGGTTCTCCCAGCGTACCCGTGCAATAATAAATGTGCGAACGCTCGTATATCTCTGTTGCACCGTCAGTGGTGCTGTTTGTTTGCAGGCCGCGCTCGGTGTTTTGGGCCTATGGGGGCCGGTGCTCGCCAATCGTAATGAAAGAAAAATCTCTGTCCCGCCCACTGTGAAAACGGTCTCAGAAACAGCGGACGTTTACGGCGCAGAAAATGTAAAAATACTACTTGAACCACATTTTGGTTTTACTAAGTAAAGTCCACCGAGCTATGTAGCTTTTCTTCGGAAGCGACCTTCGGAAGCGACCTGGCCACCAAGTGATAGCCCAATGAAGTCGCTTATCATCATGTGGACATTTTTATGTCAGCCAAATACTCTAAAGGCGTGTTTATAGATGTGGAGGGAAAAAGTGGAGTACCTGGAGAAAAATCCACGTGACCGTAGGGAGAACATGCAAACTCCAAATATTCAGGATCAGGATTGAACCCACGGCTTCTTGTATATCAGGCAAGGCAGCTAACACGGACTGTAAAATACGCAGAGACGCGTGGGGAGATTCTCTAAAATTATATTGAGAGAGAGACCATATGCAGATCATAGGCATCAGTTGAAGCGTTATGAAGAGCGAATGGGCTTGGGCAGGGGACATCCCTGGAAGGGGGGATGGATGATAGCCGTGGAGACGGAGCGGTGAAATCGGCGCCTGTGCAGATGCTGGGTGGATTGTCGCACCGCGTGATCATGAGGGATTGCTACGGCTTGAGCATGGCCTTAATCCAGTAGAGGATCGATCGTGTGGCTGACGACAATGACAATGATGATTATGACCACCACGGCGGCGCAAGGCGGGTGGCCAATCAAGCACAATCGCACCTACCTCAGGAAAATGGCCGTCAAACTCCGTACGATGTACCCAGAGTGTCAAATTGGCTCTGGTATCGTCTTGCGGAAGCTGTTCGCTGATGTTAGCTCCTGAATATGTCGCCATCGTACGCACAAATAGAACAACAGTACAGCTTTCCGGACTGTTCTGACTTGATTAAAGCCGTGCGTAAAACACACCGCGAATGTGCTGCTGCTACTCCAGCAATGTTGTTGGTGCAGCGCTGCTTGCGCTGTGCTTCTGTTACCGCTGCTGCTGCACTGCTTCGCTGCTATGCTCTTGCTGTGCTGTTGTTGCCGCTGATGCTGTGCCGCTGCTGTTGGTGCTGCTGCTGTACTGTTGCTGTGCTTTTGTGCTGCTGCTGTTGCTGCTGCTGTGCTGCTGCTGTGCCGCTGCTGTTGGTGCTGCTGTGCTGTTGCTGCTGCTGTGCTTTTGTGCTGCTGTTGCTGCTGCTGTGCTTTTGTGTTGCTGCTGCTGTTGCTGTTCTACTGCTGCTGTTGCTGCTGCTGTGTTTTTGTGCTGCTGTGCTGCTGCTGCTGTGCTGCTGCTGTTGCTGCTGCTGTGCTTTTGTGCTGCTGCTGCTGTGCTGCTGCTGTGCTACTGCTGTGCTTTTGTGCTGTTGCTGCTGCTGTGCTGCTGCTGTGCTTTTGTGCTGCTGCTGCTGCTATACTGCACCGCTGCACTGCCGCGGACTCACCGGGCTCGCGTTGTTGTCCGCCGCCCGCAGAGCAAGGTGTTCATGGAGGGCTTCCGGAGCCTGCGCGAGGGCGAGCTGCTCGAGTTCAGCTACCGCAAGTCGGCCAAGGGCCTGGAGACGATCCGCGTGACGGGCCCCGGCGGGGCGCCGTGCGCGGGCAGCGAGCGCCGGCCCAAGAGCAAGGCGGTGCCCAAGCCGCGGCGGCCTCGCGGAGACAGGTGACACGAGCCGCACAGCGTGTCGGCGCACACTCACGGTCTCCCGCAACGCCTCTTGTCTGAAATGCGAGTTCCATATACGCGCGCGCGCGCGTGTGTGTGTGTGTGTAGCGCGATGAACGTATTTTTCACGCGGATGCAAATAGAGATGTGGCGCGATCGGGCGAACGGAACCGCGTCGCGCCCGGGTTAGGAATTAAGCGGGTGGGGCAGCTGCCTCGGCGTGGCGTCGCCGCGCTGGGATGCTGCTGGATGCTTCTAGATGCTGCCCACGCGCCTCGGTCTTTGTTCAGGCCTGCGTACGCATCTCACGGGTTCTCTTGCGGACTGTGCTTTACCCCTACAGTTATTAATTATAACGCGATTTTTCCATAACGCGGCGTTCTTCAGGAACGAAAAGACTGCCACTGCATTTGCAGGAGAACCGAGCCGCGTCGTGTTTCCGGTTGCTGAGCGAAGCCGTTGTTGTCACGTCGCGCTCATCACACTGGCAAAGCGTTTGCCACAAATGAACCCGCCGGTGCCTCGTTGGTCTCGTCAAAGAGCGTGTACCATCGTCGCGCGGACTCCAGTCATCCTCGCAGCAGCAGCAGCAGCGGCAGCAGCTTCGGGCTGGCCATCGAACAAAGACGGTCACCACATCGCGTGGCGCTTTCAGACCGTCTGGAACGCTCTTCCTTGCGATATTAGGAAGCCGCTGGGAGCTGTGCACTTTAAATCATCGCCGCGATGAATTTCTTTAGAACTGATTTTTTGTGTTTTAGTTTGTCCTTCCCCCCGCACTTCCAATTAGCGCGGTCGGCGACGTGCATCTCCCCCTCTTACGTCGTTTCGCACGTATGTCGCCACCCAATTTGCGTCATCTCAACCCCCCCCCCCCCACACTCTCATGTCGCTGACAGCAGCATCGTTGTCGTCCGTCCTCCCTCGTTATCCGTCGCCTCCAGCACCCACTACCACCACCCTGATTCACGTCGTTTCGATACGTCGCACCATTCAGGAACGCAACCCCTGATGTAAAGGGGGGAGAGACCTAAGGAGGTGTGCGGGAGATCGAACTGACGACGATGACGATGATGTAGCTGGGTATCGAAAGTGCAGCCCCCCCCCACTGCACCACACCCCCCCCCCCCCCAGCCCTCTCCACGTAGACCACCCACACCTTTGGCCGGCCTCCCCACTTAAGGCGGTGACAAAGTGCAAGCAAAGCTGTAATTAAAGTGCTCGCTGATAACCCTGAAATTGTGAATGGAGGGGCTGTGTGGGCGGGGTGAGGGGGGGGGGGTCTGGAGGGATGTGGGGGGGGGGGCTGTGGTGAACCCCGCGTGACAGGTTTGCGGTGAACTTCTCGAACTTGTGAATCCGCCCCCCCCGTGCCGTGAAAGGTGGAGTCTGTAAACATGGCGCGTGTGCGGCGATTCCCTCGCAGCAGCAGCAGCAGCAGCAGCAGCGTCTACAGGAATCACAGCCCTACTCGGAGCCCCATGATTCATTGAATTCGGCACCCCCCCCCCCCGCCCCCCCCCCCGCCCCCCACTTCACCGTTTACTTTGGTGGGTGGCGCCACGACGCGCTGGCGTGTTAGGTCCAGCTGGGTCAGTGTCGGGGTGGGGGCGGTGGTGGGGGAGACTGGCGGGTGGTGCTTTGTTTTTGTTGTGCGACCGTAGGCCCCATTCATAGAAAAAAAAAAAACACAAACCCCGCCCGCCACCACCACCATCATCATCGCCACCACCACCATCATCACCACCACCACCACCATCATCATCATCGCCGAGTTTAAAGCGGAAGCAGCGCGGCGGAAGGAGCCGAGAGAATGACAGGCGGGCACTCCGCGGGAGGGTCCCGCTGACGCATGCTGTCCGCGTGTGTCTACGTCCACGTGTGTCTACGTCCGTGTGTGTACGTCCACGTGTGTCTACGTCCACGTGTGTCTACGTCCGCGTGTGTCTACGTCCACGTGTGTCTACGTCCGCGTGTGTCTACGTCCACGTGTGTCTACGTCCACGTGTGTCTACGTCCGCGTGTGTCTACGTCCGCGTGTGTCTACGTCCACGTGTGTATACGTCAAACTTCTTTCGCACCGCGCTAATCGGAGGCGCGGGACGGTGGCGGCGGGGGCGGCAGGACAGCAGAGGGAACTCAGAAAAGCAGTTGTGGAGAAAATGAGTTCGTGCTGCGTGATTCGTCCCGATGGCGTTCCTCCTCCTCCTCCTCCGTGATTCATTTTCACGAAGCTGCTGAGATCGCGCGAATCTTTGCGTGCCTGGCGATGTAGGAGCAGCGCCGCGCAGCTCCATTCTGCGAGGGGCTGTAAATTACCGCCACCTCCCCCCCCCCCCACCTTTTACAGAGTCGCTTCGCATACTACCGGTGGTGGTGGTGGTGGTGACGGTGGTGGTGGTGGTGGTGGTGGCGGTGGTGATGGTGGTGATGATGGTGGTGGTGATGGTGGTGGTGGTGATGGTGGTGGTGATGGTGGTGATGGTGGTGGTGGTGGTGATGGTGGTGATGGTGGTGTTGATGGTGGTGGTGGTGATGGTGGTGGTGATGGTGGTGATGATGATGATGGTGGTGGTGATGGTGGTGGTGATGATGGTGATGGTGGTGATGGTGGTGGTGATGGTGGTGATGGTGGTGGTGATGATGGTGGTGGTGGTGGTGATGATGGTGGTGGTGATGATGGTGGTGGTGATGGTGGTGGTGGTGATGGTGGTGGTGATGGTGGTGGTGATGATGGTGGTGGTGGTGATGGTGGCGGCGGTGGTGGCGGCGGCGGTGGCGGTGGTGGTGGTGATGGTGACGGTAGTGGTGGTGGTGGTGATGGTGATGGTGTTGGTGGTGGTGATGGTGACGGTGGTGGTGGTGATGGTGGTGGCGGTGGTGTTAGTGACGGTGGTGGTTGTGATGGTGACGGTGGTGGTGTTGGTGACGGTGGTGTTGGTGACGGTGGTGGTGGTGATAGTGACGGTGGTGGTGGTGATGGTGACGCTCCTTTCGTGTTGTCGTCAAAACCCAACGGCGTTCAGTTCGAGTTGAGAGAGAAGGACCGGGGTGGGGGGGTCGGAGCCCGTTTTGGTGAAGGCGTTTGCTCCCGTGCGCTACGGTCGACCACGTGCGGGGGGGCGGGGCCCCCTTCTTCAAAGCGGGCGTCTCTCGTCCGGCTCCTCGGCGTCGGCACCGACGACCGCCGTGCGCGAGTGGCGGAGAAACTTTGCAGCTTCTACTTCTTCAAAGTAGAAGCTGCTGCTGCGTAGGAGAAGGGAAACGTTGCTCGTGCGGAGCCGACGAATGATTTATACCGCGAGCCCGCCGAGTGTGTGTGTGTGTGTTGAACTTCTTTTGCACCATACGTAGCCAACGGCGCTAATCCGATGTGCGTGCGCGCGGCGCGGGAAAGCCAAACAAAACTAAACACGAGGGGCCAGTCCGAAAGAAGTGAGGTGGTCAATCTAGACGATTCAAAAGTGCACAACTCCGGTGCCTTCCTAATATCGGAAGGGGGGAGCGGTCCAGACGGCCGCAGGGGCGGCGTCTGCGTCTGCTAGCGCCCGCGCGACGCCTCGTTTTCCCAGGGTGCGTGGAAGCGCTGCACGTAAACACGAACCCCTGGCTGGAGCTCGGCGGCTACGTCGGAGGTCGGAGGTCGGTCCCCGAGCGCTCGCGGGTTGGCGGTCCGCGAGAGGTTTGGGTCTGGAGTGCGGCGAAGGGGTGCATCCCTGGGACTGGGTGAAATCGCACACCGCCACGTGCACAATTAACCAGCAAAATACGTGGAGCGCATTTGTCTTGTCTTCAAAGCACGGTGGTTTCCCTTCGTCTTTAGGGGGGCAGGGAAATATCTTCGGCATGTGACCCCCCCCCCCCACACCGCCATCACCCCCACCCTCACTTCTAGCCAAGCTTCTCGCTTCCACCCAACTCCCACCCAGCCCACCACCACACTCGGCCTCTCCCACACACACACACGCGAACACACACGCGATTGTGCGTGCACGCACACGTGAATGCGCACATACGCACGCACACACACCTCTCCCACACGAACGGGAACACGCGCACATACACGCGAACGCACACACACACACACACATGCCTCTCCCACACGCACGCACGAACACATACGCGTGCACGCATGCTAACTCGCACACGAACGCACGCACGCACGCACACACACATGCACACTTCTGTATCAGGCGCACACATCGTGCGTGCCATAACCTACCTGCCCCGGTGCCTCTCGCACAAAAGAAGACGTAGATTCCCTGTTTGGACGTTTAGATTGTTGGAGCAAGTGCTGCTTAGCGGATCGCCCCTTAAGGCCAGGAAAGCGCACTTTGAGTTGCTAAGTGCGGCCTCTCTCTGCGGTCATCTTTAGATACACCGCTTGGGATGCGCATGCGAAGCTGAGTGGACCTAGGGGAGGTCCAAGCCAGGTTTAGATACCAATCAACGCTTGCGCGTGACCCAAGTGCTGTTCGTGAGCAGCTATGACGGCCATGCACACCACACCAGGGGTGGCCAGCACCGCGCACGGCCGCCTTTGTCTCACCCACTGTTGATGTTTGCCGATGCTTGCACACCAGGTACTCATTTTAAGGCTGTGCCAATCGAGCGGGAGGCTCTGGATCAGTGCAAGAAATTCGTCACTGGTGGTCGAGAATCGGAAACTCGGGCCTCCGGATTCATAGCGGGGTGACTAACCATTGCGCCACCACTCCCCTTACACAAAGACAAAGAACCCCCGTATAGCCTTAACAGACTGTTGGGGCAGGTGCTCTTAGCGAGCACCTACGAAGGCTGGCATGGCACACGAGGGGGTGGGTGGCCAGCACCACCACGCCTTTGTCTCCCCAGTGGCGATGTTTACACACCGCACCAGTTACTCATTCGAGGGGTAGCCCAGTACCGGTTCAGATAATCGTCACCAGTGTTGGCCGTGAGCATGAATCGAACTCGGGCCTCCGGGTTTCGTAGCGCAGCGTAGCGCTGACCGCTAC